TCTTCAAACCTAAGTTTTTAAAAGCCTAGCTGAAAGCCTTGTAATTTATATTTAAGCCCATGTTAATTAAATTATTTATAAATATTAAGATAAAATTATTTGAATCTTATTATATTTTTCGGATGCTTTTTGAACTGATATTGGGTCCATACACTCTGTGGAGATGAGAAATCTAGCTACATCAAACCTTCTCTTCTTGCTTGTGCTATCATCTAGACATATAAACGTCCCCCATACAGATGCCATGGAATTAAAAAAACCAGGACCCCAAGCATGCAGCGGCGCCCCCTGACATCTCACCCAAACGAATCTTTCCTTTGCCACCATCGATGGCGTCCATGGTCTTACCTCAGAAAACCATTGGCTCAACCAATCTGCTCCGATCTGCACCAAGTCTTTAAGTTCTTCCTTGTCTTCACAATCCATGAGGACGAGTTTGCCCCCCATGGCTTGTAGTTGACAGGAAAAATACCCCTCCATGAAAAATTTTTCTTGCAAATTTGGGATTATTTGCACTGAATGTGCAGTCCCCACATAACACCCTTGTAACCATTCATACTCCCCTTCCTGCACATTGTACTCAATGCTGTTCCACTCCTCTTCCCTGTTTTTTATCTTCCACACCTGTCTCTGCTCTTCCCGTCCATTCCTCATTTTGCTTTTGTCCCTGCCTAGAGCATTCCACTCTATCCTTTCCTTCGGCTCGACCCTGGTGTTCCCCATATTGTCCCCTTGTTTTCCTTTTACTACATCTGCAAACGTTCTCTCCTTGTCAATAGTAACTGTGTTCAACCCCACTCGGTGCTTTTGTCTTGGTTTTTCTTCCTTTGGGTATTTTGCTAGATTCACCCATATCTTTCTTCCTTCAACCCGAATCTGGTCAAGTTGCCTTTCCAAGTCCTTGCTATTCTTCACATCCAGGAACCTGACAAAACCAAACCTACCACCATTCCTACTCCTTCTTTCCAAACTGTATATTGCGAAAATCCTTCCATACTTCCCAAAAGTTTTCCACATATCTTCATAGTTCCATTCCTCTGGGAAATTTGTGAAGAAGAATGCAGTGGCCTGTTTGTATATCCCTCTGTCATACCCCCTTTCCTGGTATGTACTTTGATTCTGATACATTTTTTGGTCCCTCTACCAAGCTGCTGCCGATCGCCTTTGCCTGCTTCTCCCTCTCTATATACCCTGAAATTCACAGAAGAGGAACTAACAAACAGCTTGTTCTCCTTGAGACAAGATTTTATGCCAAAATTCCTGAGTGAATCAGAGCATGAAGACTCATGGTCACATAGTTCTAGTGATTATGGGAATAACCAGCAGGAAGTAGATGAGGACACAACGCAGAAGCAGAGGGAGCTGATTAACGTTGAAGAAGATGACGGACAGAAGTCACGCCGGTGCAGAAGGGGAACCGAAAAAGGTGACGTCCTTGGAGACAGTGAGGTTGAGTTGGCTTCTAACAAACGCAGCTTCTCTACAGGTGGAATTAATGAAGGGTATGGAAAATCCCAACCTTCACTCAAAGATGAAGAAACCGTGGAAGGAGTGGCGGACAGCATTGATGATGGAGCAGAAACGGATGGGACCGTAGATAGCAGAAAGTTTGGACTGCATGGGGGAGGTTTGAATTCAAAAAATGATAGCCAAATAATAGAAAGAGAAGAAGAAGACAAGGAACATGAGGGCCAGGGAGGTGAGCACAGTAGTTGGAGGACGGGCCTTTGGCTCAAACGGCCCGATGGTAAAGGAGCAGCACGGGCTTGTGAGGATAATTCAGCCAACAGTTGGGTTGGGGCAGAAACAAGGGAAGAGAATGGGCCGAGAGAGGAAGTGACGTTGGAGAAAAATCAAAAGGAAGATCTTAAGGACAAAGCCGAAAACAGCAACAAATTCTGGGAAGGGTTTGAAAGCGAAGAAGGCAGTGAGAAAGAATGGATGGGAAGAACAACTCTGAGGGACAAAAAGAGAAGAAGAAAAAGGGCCAAATCATGTAGCCTTGTATACCAGAAATCAACAAAGTTGGGTCAATTTCACCAAAAGAAAAGAGGAAGAGGCAGATCCAACTCACGGGAAACCAAGGGAGAGGTAATCCCGAAATTCTTACCGGGCACAAGTAACTCTGTTGCAGGGGGATCAATTGGAGACAACGGCATAGAAAACTGTAATAGACTACTGAAGACACAACTAAGCCGGAAAAGTGCAAAAGACTTGTGGGATTTTGCTAAACAATTGGGGGTGATAGCTGAGAATGAGGAAGTGATGATCAAGAATTTGGAAGAAATGGAGAACAGAGACAGAAAAGCCAAGGCAGCAAGTTTGGACAAGAAGGGATGTGGGGTCATTCAATGAATACTTTATCTTACAATATTAGAGGGTTGGGAGGTTGCGGGAAGAGGAGACAGATTAGAGAGTTGGTGAGGAAGGAAAAAATAGATTTTTTAGCTATACAAGAAACCAAAATGGGAATGATTGACAGAAGAGCTTGCAGATCAGTGTGGGGAATAGATGAGGTTGACTGGGTAGCAAAAAATGCAGAAGGTATGTCAGGTGGAATTCTTTGTGTATGGAACCCTAGAACCCTTAAAAAAAAGAGAGTTTTGGAAGGGGAGTATTGTATAGGTATTGAAGGGGGTGTGGGGAACAGAAGAGGTCATTGTGTGTATAATTAATGTGTATTCACCTTGCCAAATAACGGGTAAGAGAGCATTATGGACGGAATTGAAGAACATGATGACAGGAGGGGGGAGTATGTGGTGTATTGTGGGGGATTTTAATGCTATTAGGAGAATTGAGGAAAGGTCAGGATGTAGAAGTGTGTCAACTGAAATGAGAGAGTTTGATTGTTTTATTCAAGAAACTGAGTTGATTGACCTTCCCCTTGCTGGTAGAAAGTTCACCTGGTACCACTAAAATGGGAATCAAATGAGTAGAATTAGACCTGGCAAACGGGCAGGTTGGGTCGGGTTAAGGTCGGGTCACCTCGGGTGACGGGTTAGACGGGTTGGGTCATAAACGGGTTGCGGGTTGAAAACATCTAACCCTAACCCGACCCTAACGGGTTACGGGTTAACCCGCGGGTTAACCTTATTTCAGTTTTTATAATTATTTTTTGTTAATTTTATTATACACAAATAAAATTATATATATCTAAATATAATTAAAATATTGTGATTCATTAACACTAAATATTTTATAATTTCAATTACAAACA